TGCACCACCGCCGACGCTGCTGCCACCCTCGCCGACGGGCTGCTTCTTGCCCCTGGGCTTCTTGGTCACGGGCGGCGCATCGATCGCGACAGCCGCGACACTTTGAGCAGCTCCGTCGACAGTGCCCTGGCGCCTGCGCTTCTTGCCATCATCTGCAGCTGCTGCCTCCCCTGGAGCTGCCCCTGCGCCCGCGCCGCTGCTGGCGCCTCCCGAGCCCGCGGGGGCGACGCCGCCACTGCCGCTCGCGGCTGGCGCGCCTGGTGGCTGTCCTCCACCACCGCCGTTCAGGCTCGGCGCAGGCGGCCCGCCCTGCTGCTCCTGTGGAACGGGGAAGGTGAATATGAGTTCGCCATCCTACATGTCCAATTCGCCTACAATCGTACCCCTGACCATTTGTCGTTTTGGCCCCCCTGGGCCTCCCCTGACAGCCCCGAGGCTCAAGAAATCAGACCCGCCAGCGGATCGTTTCAAAGTCCCAGGGGCTTGCCGATCCAACAGAAATTCCAAGGGATCCCCCGTGCGACGCACGACCTAGATTTGCGAGGCCCGCGTCTCCTCGCGCAGCGCCCTCGCCCAGGTCGCAACCTGGGGCCGCAAACTAATCGGCGCAACCACGGGATAAGCGGGCAGCCCTCACCAGCCAGCCCAACTTCGACTTATCAGGCAGCTTGCCCGATCTGTCGTAGTTGGGCTGGCTGGCGGCGGCTGCCGCCGATGCACGCGGTGCTGCGGTAGTTTGCCACCCGCGCACCTCCGCCTCGCGCGATTGCTTGGTCCCAGCGCTGTCGATCTTGTCGCTGCACCACTCCTCCATGATGGTCCAGGCCTCGGTGAACGACACGTTGATGCCCCCCACGACGTACAGCACTCTCAGGCTGCGCGTGGCGTCGTCATAGATGACCCACGGAGCTCCGAGTAGCATGGCCCGCAGGAAGTATCTGATCGCCTCGGGGTGGATGCAGGACTGATTTGATACCCTCCCCCAGTCCTCCTCCTCATCCTCATCATCCCCTCCTTCCTCATCCTCCTCATGGCCCTCCTCCTCTTCCATCTCCTCCTCGTCCTCCTCCTCCTCCTCCTCCTCCTCCTCCTCGTCTTCCTCCCCCTCCTCCTTTTGCTTCTCCTCCTCCTCCTCCTCCTCCTCCTCCTTCTTCTCATCCTCCCCATCTCCCCTTCCATCCCATAACGCCTGCATCCACCCCAGCTTGCCGCCGCCCTCCTTGTGGGCCACGCGCCCCAGCGGCATGTACTGCCCCTTGCGGAACGAGCTGTTCACCACGGACGTGGTTCTGCGCTTGGTCGAGCAGTAGTTGTCGAACTTCAGCTTCGCCCAGTCGGCGCGAAACTTGCTCTGGTCCGCAGGCGATCCCGTGAGCTGCTTGTACGCAGCTGCCAACTCAGCGTCCTTCTTCTTGGCGCGCTCGAAGCGCGACCCCAGGGGATTGCCAGCACCTCCGCGAGCATTGAACATGAAATTGTTCTGCTCGCACTGCTTCATGATCTGATACTCCGCCAGCTGGTCGGGCGTGAACCCCGTGGTGTCGACGGTGTCAGAGACGAGCGGCACCGCCGCCTCCTGGAGCTGGCCGGCCTTCGCCCTGGGGTCGGGCATCTGGAAGGTCTTGCTGTCGAGAGCTGCGGCGCCGATCCCCTGCGATGATGCAAACATGTCCTTGAAGTCCATGCCCCGCAGCTTCTGAACAGCAGCCACATCAGCACCGTGGAAGCAACTGAAGAGCATCGCGTTGATGCCGAGCTCGTCGATGCCCTCGGCTGCTCGCAGCTTCTCCTTCTTGGAGCCCGCAAACGCGTTTCCAACTCGCCACCGCGCTCACCGATGACTCACCGATGACTCACCGATCTCACCGATATCGGTGCGATCGGTGACCTCGCCGATCTCACCGATATCAGTGACATCGGTGAGCTCATCGGTGAGCGCGGCGGTAACTCACACAGTTGGGCTAAATAGCCCATTGAAGAGTATGAGGATTTCGAAGGATGCGTGAGGAGGGGGCGGCGGCGACGGACGAGGCAAGGAAGGTTGCCTTAGAGGAGCGGGGGGGGGGGCAGGGGATGGCGTTAAAGTTATGAATGATAAGACGATGATGAGGAGGAGGAGGAGGAGGAGGAGGGAGGTGGATGAGGAGGAGGAGACGGAGCATGGCGAGAGAGGGGGGAGGAGGGTCGTGGACGGGGATCACGCATGTTCAGAGGAGCATGGGAGGTCAGGATACAGAAGAACGAGGATTGTTGAGGGAGATGTGGTAGACCTTCGTTTTGGTGCACCCCTCGGTCCTCGTACTCCTTGGCCACCAGTTCGATGGCGTCGACGTGGGCCTTCCCCGCTGCCCTCGCCTGTTGAGGTCAGCGCAAGAACGGAGAACGGCGAGGGCGGTTGGAGGTTAAATTGGGGAGGGGGCGGGGAGAGGATGAGGCGGAGGGTGGGTGCAGCACGGAGGAAGGAGAGAGAGAGAGAGAGAGAGAAGAGATATAGAGACAGAGAGAGAAAGAGTGCGTGTGCGTGGCGGAACGACCAGGATAAAGTGAGAGAGGGGGTGGATATATGGAGAGGTGGAAAGGTAGAGATCCTCAAGAGCAGGTTGGAACGTGAGCGCGCGGGCGGATGTGGAGACAAGGTGGAGGAGCCAAGATCAATTAGTCCCACGGGCCTGAGCCTCGCTGGAGGCGTCGTCAACCTGTGCAGCGCCAGCAGCTGCACCAGCTGCGGCCGCGGCGGCGGCCGCGGCGGCGCCCGCCGTTGCCTCCTCGGCAGCGGCCGCGGCGGCACCCTCGGGGGCGCTGCTGGAGGCGCTCCCTGCAGCGCTCTTGGCGGCGTCCTCTGCTGCGCCCGCGGCGGCAGGAGCACTGGGGCTGGCCGCGCGGTGCTCCGCTCCCGACGCGCCCTCTGGTGCTGGGATGGCGCTGTCGAGCGGCGCCATGGGGTGCGGCTGCGTCTCGGCGGGCTTCGCCTCGGGGTACGGCTGCGTCTCGGCGTGCTTCGCCTCGGGGTACGGCTGCGTCTGCTTGTCCTGGCTTCCGAGGCTCCTGCGCTGAGATCGATGTTCGCGCCACTCAGTTGCTTCGACGGCGGTGGGCTGCCTGTCGTGCGGCCAGTCACTGGGCACATCAGCGTCACCGCTACTCGAGGGACCTGCACCCTCCCAGCTGTGGCGCGCGTCTGGGTCGGACGGTTCTGGGATCTCCACGCCCTTTCGCTCTGCATCTAGCCTGCTCTCCGCTAATGCTGCCTCTAACTGCGCGTTCTCCTCCTCGAGATCGCGCTTCAGTTTCTCCTGGCGCCTCTGCTCATCGATCTTCTCCTGCTCGATGGAGTCGTTGATGGCTGTGGCCTCGCCCGCGGCACCGTCTGATGCACTGCTGTCCTCAACTGCAACGCACTCTGCTTCACCACCCGCTGGTTCTGGCGGCGGCTCGGCTGCTGCCTCGCCGAGCTGCACCGGCTGAGGCGGCTGCGCTGCTCCCTCTGCGACGGGCTGGCACGGCTGCTGCTGGGTCGGCTGCTGGGACGGCTGATCTGGCGCCTCCTCCTGGGGCGGCGCCGACAGCAGCTGCGACATCCGCATCCACTTGCTCGGGGGCGGCTGCGACGAGGCCTTCGGCCGCCCCTGGACCTGCGGCGGGGCTGGCGGCGGCTGCGACGCGGCGTGCGGCGGCTCCATCTCGTAAGCCTGGAGGCGACCCGTGGCGGACGAGATCCAGGCGCGCTGGTTGGCAACGAGCCTCTCCAGCTCCTCCACCCTCTTCCGCGCCTGCTCACCCTGCGACAAGGCCTCCGCGAGGGACTGGCCGCCCGCCACCGTTGACGCCGTCGCCAAGGAAGACTGCGACGTCGCGTCGTCCATCATAGTCATCGAAGCGGCAGCTGCCGCCGCGCGCTCAAACATCTCCCCCGTGGATGCCCCAGAGCTATGGCTCTTCTGCGAAGAGTCGGGCGGGGAGCCTGCGCCCAACATCCTGCCGATGAGGGTGTTGTGAGCCGAACCTGGCTGCAGCGTGTAGAACGGAATGGCAGGTTCCTGCGAGGCAGTCTTTCTGACCTTGCCCATGCCTGACGAAGACACTTGAACCGCAGAGTGCCACAGTCAATTGGATTGAGACGTAATGGGGCAGACGCATCAAACACAGAAAACGAGGAGGACGAGGGCGAGGAGAAAGGAGGAGAGGGGGAGACTGAAGATGAGGGTAGGTAGGAGGGGGAGGAGGAGGAGGAGGAGGAGGAGGAGGAGGAGGAGGAGGAGGAGGAGGGGAAGAGGATGGGGAGGAGGATGGGGAGGAAGAAGGGAAGGGTATGGAGTAGGGGAGGCGGTGATGGTGCGACCACCGTTTCTGTTTAACACATGTTGCTCAGTATTGCAGTATCCCCGAATTGGTCTGGGTCAGCGATGCATGGGCGAGCGTGGCGTGTGATGTGCTTTATCTATTGTGCAATGTGGCGACGCAGTGGAGTTAGTGTGCATCCTCTTGACTCTCAGAGTCCTCCTCGATCCTCATCCTCTTCGCAAGCCGCATTCGCATCGTCGTCACCTCCGTGTTTACCATTTTCCGCCCTCTGTATTTCAGAACGCGTTACATCTTCGTCACTGTAAGTGCCCTCATCATCATGAACACAACCATCACCATTACCATCACCATTGCATCATTAACATCAACATTACCACCCTGGTAGCCAATTCACTTGGCCATCTATTGAGTCAGTCTTTCAGTTTGCAAACCTCGCCATCCACCAAGTACTTCCAGCGCGAACACGCGCAGACATCGCAGAGGTCGCGACTGCCGCTGAAATATGGAGGGACGAGGCGCCAAGCAGCGCACACAGTGTCATGATGCCGCCAGGAGGTGTCCAAATGTTCAGTGGACGAACGTTTCAGGGCCACGGGATGTGATCTACTTCATGCTTCATGTGTGCTCTAATCTGCGCACCCCTCAAAGCCACAGTTGGACCTCTAACCTGGCGGCGTCAAGCCAAACAAAACTGAACGTCAGAAGAAGCCAAACGCCCCCTCTGGGATTTCACCGCACGGAGGTGCGACTGCAGGCTCGGGTGCCCGCTCGGGCGTCCGCTCCTCGTGCGTCTGCGGCTTGGCAGTCGCGATCACCGCCCTGTCCAGCGGCGCGATCGCGGTCTCGTCCAGCGGCACCTGCTGCGCCTGCTGCACGGTCACGGGCTTCACCTGCTGCGCGGTCGTGGGCTTCACCTGCTGCACGGTCACGGGCTTCTTCTGCACGGTCACGGGCTTCTTCTCGCCGACGTTGGCCGCTGGTTTCTTGCCCACCGCGGGCTGCTCCTCACCAGCCGACTCGCCGACGTTGGCCGCTGGTTTTTTTGCCAACCTCTGGCTGCTCCTCACCAGCCGACTCGCTCTCGTCATCATCAGGCTTGGCACTCTCCGCGTCCTCCATGTCGCCACCGTCCTCCACGCCGTCACCGTCCTCGCCGTCTTCGGCGTCCTCGGCATCCGCAGCTGCATGCTCGCCCGCCTCCTCCTCCTCCTCCGCCTCCTCATCGTCGTCGACTTTGCACCGTTTCGCCATGCCGGAGAACGCCGCCGCGGGCCGCTTCATCGCGGCCGTCTCCTTCTGGATGAACTGCTGCTTCTCGGCCTCGAGCTCCGCCTTCGTGGACTGGCCAGAGCTGTACCTCTTGGCCGCGTCCACGAGCCACGTCTTGGCCTTCTCGAAGTTCGAGTCGGGCCTGGGCAGCAACTGCAGCACCTGCGACCGAGGATTCTGCCACAGCTGCAGCCACTCCACCCTGTTCTTCTTGACGACCCTGGCGAGGACGACATTGTCGTCCTTGAGCCCCCTCCACAGCACGTTGGGGGCCGCCGTCGCGCTGGCGCCCGCGGGGCCCACCAGGTCGTCTGGAACCTGGCTGGCAGATATCCTCCCATCCTTCTCCTCCTCATCCTCCTCCTCCTTCTTCTCGTCCTCCTCCTCCTCCTCTTCCTCCCCTCCTCCTCCTGCTCCTCCTCCTCCTGATCTTCCTCCCCCCGTTCCTCCGTCTCATCGTCGTCCTCCTCCTCCTCCTCCTCCTAATCCTCCTCCTCCTCCTCCTTCTCCTCCTCCTCCTCCTCCCACTCCTCCTCCTTCTCCTCCTCTTCCTCCTCTTCCTTCTCTTCTCCCTCACTCCCCTTCCATCTTTCTCATCCTCCGTTTGCGGCGGTGGATGCTCTCCCGTGGAGCCTGCCACGCGAAGTTCTTCGTCCACACCGCCATCGGGCGGTCGTCAGCGAGCCTGTGCACCGAGGTGTACTCTGGCGCCGCGGAGTCGTCGCCGACGGGCAGCCGCCACGCTGCCTGGATGCGGTTCGCTCAAAATCATCATCATCATCGTCATCATCATCATCATCAGCATCATCATCATCACCATCATCACCATCATCATCATCATCATCATCATCAGCACCAGCACCAGCATCATCATCACCATCATCATCATCATCATCAGCATCAGCATCAGCATCAGCATCACCATCATCATCATCGTCATCATCATCACCACCATAATCATCATCGTCAGCATCATCATCCTCATCATAATCATCCCTATCATCATCAAACTCACCATCATCACCATCATCGGCACACCCCCAATATCCCTTACGTTTTCTAACAGTTTCGCGTTCGGTCGCGTGCCCTCGAATCGCCGACTATCGTCTCCTTCCCCACCTTGCGTCCCCCTCCTCCCCCTCCTCATCCTGTTCCTCCACCTCGTCCTCTTCCTCCTCCTCTTCCTCCTCCTCCTTATTCCTTCCTCTTCTTCCTCCTCCTCCACAGAGCAGCCTGTAGCTCCTTGTCGAAGCCGACCCTCCAATCGCCGATGATGCACACGTGCTTGAACGCGGCCGCCGCGCCGCTCCGCATCGCACCCGACGGCTTTCTGCGGACGGGCTCCTCGGGGCGCGCATTCGTCGTCGTTGCGCGTCGTCCCAGTGTGCCCCCACCATCCTCGCCCCTTCGTGTCATCCCCCATCCCTCTCCTCATCCTCCTCGTTGTCCTCCTCTTTCCTCCCCCTCCTCCTCCTCCTCCTCCTCCTCCTCCTCCTCCTCCGCATCATCATCATCATCATCATCATCATCATCATCGCATCAGCATCATAATCAGCATCAGCATCATCATCATCATCATCATCACATCATCATCATCATCAGCAGCATCATCATCATCATCATCAGCATCATCGTCATCATCATCATCATTATCATCATAATAATCATCATCATCATCATCATCATCATCATCATCATCATCATCATCGTCTTTCTCCTCATCCCCCTCATCCTATTCCCCTCCTCCTCCGCCTCCTCCCCCTTCGACTCCTCCTCCTCCTCCTCCTCATCCTCCTCCTCGCCCCTACCTTTTTTTTCCTGCGCCAGTCCTCCTGAGAGGCCAGCCCCTCTTATCCCAACTCCTCCTATTCTTCTCATTATTCCATCATTCGATGTTCGACCCAGTCTCCTGCGCAGCCTGAGCGTCGGCGCTGAGGAACGGCGCAGCCCAAGCTGGCGGCGTCTTCCTTTGGGGGGGTTCGCAAGCCGCCCCCTCCGCCTCCGCTTCGTCGTTATCGTCATCCCCCCCTCCTCCTCCTCCTCCCTTCCCCCCCCTCGTTATCTTCGTTCTCATCTCCCCCTCCTCCTCCCCCCCCTCCCCCGCCCCCACCCCCCACGCACACGCGCGCACGCCTGCTCCTCGCCCCCATTCCTCGCTCTCCCATTCTTGTGATCGCGACGTCACCTACCCTCCTCATCCTCCTCGTCCCCAATCTCTTTCGCTCTTTCCTTCTCCTGCTGTTGCTGATCCTCTTTCTCGTCGTCGTCGTCGTCCACCTCCTAGCTCCACCTCCTCCTCCTCCTCCTCCTCCTCCTCCTCCTCCTCCTCCTCTTCCTCCTCCACCTCCCCCACCTCCTCCTCGTGCTCCTCCTCCTGCCCCTCCTCCTCCTCCTCCTCCTCCTCTCTCATCTTCCTTCTCCCCTCCTCCTTCTCCTGCTTCTCATCCTCCTCCTCATTCCTTTTTAAACGCATACAAGCCGGTCCTGCCGACCGCCTTGCCAACGTGCCGGATCATGGCCCGCACGCTGCGCGCCGTGTCCGTGGCCCACGCGGTGGCCTGCTTGCCCAGCTTCCAGGTCGCCGCGTTGTCGTTGGCGACCGTCTTCAGGATCGCCTGCAAGGGGCTTGAATACAGCGCAGTGCAGAGCTGCATCAGCCGCGCCCCAATTCACAGCTCACCGACGGCTCACCGATCTCACCGATTTCGGTGAGATCGGTGAGCTATCGGTGAGTCGTGCCACGCGGCGCGGCTGAAGCAGACCAGCGTCACGATGCATTCGTCGATTGCCCCGTAGCCTCGCCCATCGTTTGGCACACGCCGCCGCCGGGGCCCAGCGCCTCGCGCGTGAGCTTGATCAGCTGCACGTGCTCGAGCAACCTCTCCTCGTCTTGCGAGTCGGTCATGCACGTGGTGTACTTGATCCTTAGCACGCTCGGTAACGGTACATCCTCCTCTCCTCCTCTTCTCCTGATCTCCTCACCTCATTCCTGATCAAGTTTCTTCTCCTCACTTTCTCCCGTCGCCACCTCCTTCCTCCTCCCCATCCTCATCCTCCGCCCGCTCCGCTTTCTATTCCCGCTCTTCCGCCTCTTCCTCATCCTTCTCATCCCCTCGACCTCCTCCTCCCCCTCCTCCTCCTCCTCTTTCTCCTACCCCTCCCTCCCCCTCCCCCTCCTCATCCTCCTCATCTTCCTCCTCCCCTTATTCCTCCTTCTCCTCCCCTTATTCCTCCTCCTCCTCCTCCTCCCCCTCCTCATCCCTCCCTCTTCCCTGCTCTCATCTTCTCATTTTCCTCCTCATTTCTCCTCCGATCGATCCCTGTCACGGCCTCTGATCCACTCGACGCCCGTCCCCATTTGTCGTCGTCGTCCGTCGCGAGGCCCTCCCCCCCCCCCCCTTCCCGCCGCCTCGACCGAGCGATCGATCGACGGCTCGATCGATCTTGCCCATCAAACCTCGTCTGACGCGCGCCCGAGGGCGGCACGCGTCAGTCGTCTGGATGTGCGCCTTCCAAATCGGAAGGAGCTTCTCGTACACCTCGTCGCCGCCGCCATCGGCGGACGCGTCCCCTCCGTCGGAGGGCTCGGGAGCGGGGTCCCTGGCCGCCTTGGGCGTCATCTTGAGCGAGCGGGGCGCTCAAAACGGCCCTCAAGGCTGGCGAGGGGCCGAGAGGGGTGGCCAAATCAACAAACCGAAACACAGAGAATCGTTGCAGAGGAGATTTGGGAGGAAGAGTGGAGGGGAGAGGAGGGACGGAGGGGGGGGGGAAGAGGCAGAGGCGGAAAGAGGAGGAACAGGAGAAGGGAGGTTCGAGGCGGATCCAACGTGAGGAGGATCGGATACTAGAAAAAAGGGGTTGGCGCGCTCGAGTTGCATCTGACATCGCACCCCTCCCTTCGCGACGCCGCGAAATATATTAGTACTAGCGTGACTATATGTGCGCGTTCAGAATAAGTTGCTGTTCGAAGATGCTGAACGCGCGGAGCTTTGCAAATCAAACAAATATTTTGTTATAAATGCCAGAAACAGTGATAACATGATGTTTGGTGATGAACACTTATAGATAGTGACTATGTTGGGTCACCGTGACCAGTGTGGGTCACGGTGACCATTTCGGGTCACCGTGACCTTTTTTGGTCACAAGACATGCGTGACCCAAAACAGGTCACGCAAGACCTCTGGGTAAGGTTGACGCAGACAACGAGTCGCAAATCGACATCGTCGCCTGCCCTTACCGACAGCTGGGGGCCTATGGAGTCAGGAAAGCATGGGAACCGTCAGTATCCGACCACGCCATCCTGTACCTGGAGCCACAGGGCGCCCCCAGAACCCGCAGAAACAACACCATACGGGCTGGTGACTTGCGCCTCCTGCCGGGCGAGGCGCATGCTGAACTAAGAGCCCTCTACACCTTCCTCGAGCGTACCTTCGGACTGCCCGACATCGACCTGACCGGACTCCTGCAACCTGCCGACTGGGTCCGTCCTGCGGCCCCTGGTCAGTTCCCAGCAAGACACAGTGACAACGACGACGGAGAAGGAGAAAGAGAACAGGAGCCTTCAGTTCCACCTCTGGCCCCTCAGCCTGGTGGACGGTCACACCGCCCCCCTCGTTCCTGCCCTGCTCACTCTTGGCCGCCGCGCCATGTCGGCGGCCATACAGGATTGGTGGAGGAAGTGGCGCAGGATCAAGACCAACCGCTCCCCAGGTACCCTGCTCGCTGCCGCGGCGAGATCCGAGTCCAACACACGCCCAGTGGGGACGCTCGCGGCCTGGCTTGCCGAGTACGAGTGAGACGGCAACGACCTGACCCCCCAGCAGGCCGCCTGCTGGCTGCGAAAGTGGGACAATGACATTGCTCAGAGACGGGCTGCTCGACTCACCCCCGTACAAAGGGGCCCTGGCGTCGAGCGCCCCGCGCTCGCCTCGCACTACCGCGCGGGCCGAGAAATCTTCGTCAAAGCACACGCCATCCTCGGGGTGCGTGACGCTGAGGGGAGGTGGAAGGAGCGCACGAAGGAAGTCGACGACGTCCTCTGGCGGAGCCGTAACCACATCTGGCAAACTGCCCCCCCCTTCCCCAGCTGCGGACCGAATCTTTGACGAGCATTTCCGGCACAGGGATCTTGGGCAGTTCCCGGACTCCCCCAACCCGCAGTGGGGCAGGATTGGCTCCCTTGTCTTGGGTCCAAGCGGCAGTGCTCCTGGGGTGGATGGAGAACCGTACGAACTGTACCACCCCGGGGCCCGTTTCGTTGCCTGCCTGCTCGCGCAAGCCTGGTACGCCGCCGACCTGAATCCAGATTTTAAAGACCT